CATGTGGTGCTGGGGGATTGAACCGCGGTCCCTGTGCTTTGCTAAGCTTGTTCTAAGTAGGTGCTTTAGACCACTGAGCCATCTCACCAGCCCTCTGCCTTGCCTTGGAAAACAGTGTTCTGGAAAGTAAGGCTATAGCTTATTTTTTGCCTTCTCCCCATTCTAAGCACACTTCCTTGTACATAACAGGAAATAGCCGCTTTCCACATCAGCTGCTGTCAAAGACGCCTTCCTGTGCACATGCGCTGAGGAACTCTGTGTGCCTTTGTCTCTTCCATTCTCCCCCTTTCCTGCTTCTAGGCTACAATAATGAAGAACAAAACGCACAGCACACACAAACCTTTTCTTCACTTTTGAGTAACCACTGTTGTTTTACAAATTTCTCTGTCTGTGCTTTAATTATCAGATTTCACACCCTCTGGAACATATCTTTCTTGGAAAATGGCAACACCTAGTCTCTTTAACAAACTTTGTGACTAGCACATAAAAGATTTCCAAATAATAATGTATTTGAGAACATATGAAAAAGATTCACTGTCTATATATTAAAAAGGTAATGAATCATTAATATAAGCTAGTCTCATTTGCCAGCCAATTGGGTTGTGGCCTAAAGTCCATTCATCAGGCAGTTTGCTGGTTTCTATGGCTAACTACATTTTATACTATTATATCAAAAGTGCAAGAGTATATACATTATATAACAGTGAGTACTTACAGCAATAATAGCTAGTTTATTGAGTACCAAACATGCTATACATATCATCTCTGTTTTTCACAACTCTGCAAGATAATTACTCATTTCACAGATGCAGCTGAGGTTCAGATAAGTTAAGGAACTTGCTTTTTTTTTTAACTTGCTTTTAAGAGCACACAAAGTCAAATACATTTCTCATCTATCTCTAGCTCCTGCTAAAGTGATGACAGACCATTCATAACTTTCCTGCCATAGCTATTGGGCCCCAGGGTAGGTAATTAATCCAATTCCAGGCAATCTTTTTTTTTCTTCTTTTTTTTTTTTGGTGGAACCAGGGATTGAACTCAGGCTCTTGTGCTTGCCAGGCAAGCGCTTATTCTACTGAGCCATCTCCCCAGCCCCTCCAGCCAATCTTGGCTGTGGCTTGATTTGAAAGGATGTCTGACCAGTCAGATTCTCCATTAGGAAATTTTTGCAGTGCTGGAGTCAAATTCAGGGCCTCATGCATGCTACCACTGAGCTACATCCTAGCCTGCCTTAGTAATGTCAATCCAGAAACATGAGAAAAAGTGGGAAGTTGGTAGGAGCAGGAGTGTGAGAGAGACTGAGAAGGCTGTATTCAAGCTGAAGTTGTGTGGAATGGAAGACAGCAAAGATTTTAATGTGGAAGGATGGCAGGTAAATGGGAGTGAGCAGAAAGAACCATAGAGAATGGCCAGGTTGATGCAGAGCCCTTAACACTCTGGGGCCACATTCTGCCCCTTTCTTTCTTTTCTGCTGATTGATTGCCAGAGTAGCCCTCAAACAAACCCTCCATCCCTTGACCTGACTTAATGTCAGTTCCTTTTATCTCAGAGAACCAAATGAAAATACACAGCCAGTAAGTGTCATGAAGGGGATTTGAACCCTGGTTCTGTGGGCAGTTTCTACGCTTGTCACTGTACTCCTTTGCCTCATTATAAATGCTGCTCTAATCCCCCAGATCCTACAAGATCGCCTTAGTTTATCAGAAAAAGAAGTAATAATGGATTCCAGTTCCCCAAGTCCTTATCCCAAGCCTTGGTTTGCTTCCAGAGTCCTGAAGAAGAAGGGATTAGGAAAGTCTCAGGCAACTGGGAGGTCTCCAAACAGCTGGGCAGGACTCGTGCTTCAAGGGAGAAAATGCTATGGTGGGGAGAGGGGCAAGGTGCCGGGACACAGATTGGCAGAGAACAGGTGCTCTACAGGGACAGGGACTGGTCTTAGCCCCACTTCTAGCCTCAGCTTCTAAGGAAATGCCAAACATATATTTGGGATAAGTGACTGAATAAATGAATGGCAGAAGTGGGACATAGCCCCTGCTCACGTGACTGGCTCCCCCCTCAGTCCAGTCTTTCCACAGTGAGGAACACCTGTCTCCATCTCTATGAAACAATTCATGCATTACTCTGAGTAACATTTACAGTGACTAGTCAACTTCAGCTTTAAACATACCAAAGGAACAGTGTAGTGTTGACTGTAGTAATGACAGGGCTCAAAGACTTACAAATGTACAGCTCTGGATTGCATTTTTACCCTGTTTACAAAACCACCACTGGCTTTGTCTTCTCTGTCTGCAGAGACTGAGGTTTTCATTTTAAGAGGCTGACTAAAAAATGCAGGGCCACTTCCTGGGCAGGCTTCCAAGTGACTACATCTTTCTCACAGCGTTCCCCAGAGCCCCAGCCCAAGCTGCCTGGGGCAGGGCCTGCAGCCATTGGTGGTTGGCGAAGCTACCACAGTAACAGTTATCTGCAGCCCGCCAGAATTGCTGTGCTTTGAGGCCCTTGCAGGGTCCATATTACAGCCTTGCCCTCTGCACTGAAGAGACATCAGAGTGTACGATTGGCCAGGCTGGTGTGTGTGTGAAATACAGGAAATGTCGGGGCACGCTTCCGAGTATGACGTTCCTTTCAGCCCAGTACCCCAGCAGTGGGTGAGTCTAAATGTTTGAAGACTGCCCGCATTGGTGGGGAAATGTTCAAAGCTGACTTCCCAAAAGGCATGACTTAGCATATTTTTTAATCCTGCCGAGCCTCAGTTGCCTTCTCTGTGAAACAGGGTTATACCCTGTACTCTAGAAAGACAGAAGTGTGTATCCGTCAGAGTGTTGGGAAAGCTAAAAGTGCTAAAACATCCAGAGCACCTCTCTGGTACCTGATATGTGGCAGACAGTGAAAAGCTCTTATTATTTCTGTAGCACCAATAAAAATGGGAGAGGGGGTGATTCAGTACTGCCCAGTCTTGATTTCTAGCAGTATAATATTTCTCTGAGAAACTCAGCAGGCATTTTACTTCTATCTGTACAGCCAACAGAAATCAAAATTTTGGGGAAGATAGTGCTGAAAAGTGGGGAAATGCATCAGACTATATTTCTTTTCTCTTTTTCCCTTCTAGACCCTGACTGCACCTGCCCCATTTGCAGATGAAACCAGCTGCCAGTGCCAAGCGCCTCATGAAAAGCTGACCATTGCTCAGGCTCGCTTAGGAACACCAGGTGAGACTATGCTTCCTGCTCTGCAAGTGGACTGCAAGTTTCAGAGGCGTGTCATTGTTTGAGCAGCTCTTTCTTTCTTTCTTTCTTTCTTTCTTTCTTTCTTTCTTTCTTTCTTTCTTTTTCTTTTTTTTTTTTTTGACAGAACCAGGGATTGAACTCAGGCCCTTGAGCTTGCCAGAAAAGCGCTTATTCCACTGAGCCATCTCCCCAGCCCCTAGCACTTGCTTTCAATCAGAGTTGAATTAGAGACATCAAGCATCAATAGTGATAGGTTAGATTAATCAAAGTGGAAGTAGTAAAGTAAAAGATGCACAGAGTACCCAAGTTGGGGGCTTATCTCCACCACTTATGACTTCTACAGCTTTGAGCAAGTTATAAAGGAGAGCTGAGTCTGTTTCCTCACGTGCAAAACAGGGACAACAATACCTGCTCCACAAGGATTTTGTTGGGACAGTGGGGGAGTGGGGTTACTGGGCACTGAATCTGGGGGTTTGCATATGCAAGGCAAGTGCTCTATCACTGAGCTACATCCCCAGCCCCAGCCCCCACTTTTTGGAGACAGGTTCTTGCTAAGGCTAGCCTTGAATTCGAGATCCTCTTGCCTCAACCTTCTGAGTAGTTGAGACTACAGGCTTGCGCCACTGCCCTGGCTTCAGAAGGTTTTTCTGAAGATTCATTTAAAAGCACCAAAGCACTTTTTCTTTAAACTATGAAGGCCTTTATGAACCTGAACTACTATAATTACTATTCTTTAAAGTATGTCTTTTTGAAAGGTTTCAAGCATATATTAACAAATACTGGGCTTTCCTATAGAAGTTTGTTCATGCATGCATTCATTCATTCCTATCACATACCAGAGAATGGGTAGTGAACAGATTTAAAAAGAACTATAGCATACCATTTCTGTCTCCCAAAGGCTTTCACTATAACTAAAGAGATAAGATGATTAGATATGAAATACAAGTCACAAGTAGCATGTATGCATGTCCCGCAACACAGATGATAGCTGACAATTTTGAGAAGGGCAGATTCATTTGGCCTGAGGTGGTCAGGGAAGATTTCACAGAGGGAACGGAACGGAACTGATACTTTGGGGAGAAGTAAGATTTAGACTGTGTGGGCAGAAAAAACAGAGAAGAATTTTGGAGAAGTGCAACAGAAACAGTGAAGGCTCGGAGATAGAGAGTGTGGGAGCAAATGAATGTCATTCCAGTTGACTAGGCAGAAGTAAAAAATCAGGCTAATTGAGCAGGTAAGCTTTGAGTCACTTTGGATGATACAGCTAAGTGGTTCCCACTTAGCACTGCGGAAAACGACCCAAACTTAAAAGGATCCATGGGAGGGAAGGACAGTTTGCTTGATGATGAGGAGGAGGAGGATGAGGAGGAGGATGAGGATGATGATGATGAGGAGGATGGATAAGTATTAAGTGCTTACTATGTACTAAGGCCTTTATATGTGTTGTACCATTTCACTGTCACAACTCAACATGGTTAGTACTTTTAGTATTTCGTAGATGAGGAAATGAAGGCTCAGAGACCTCTGAACCTGCACAAGGTCATTCAGCTAGTAAGTGGCAATGGTTCCCACATTGCAGCGTGTATCAGAATAACCTGGAGGACTTGATAAGCTACAGATGGCTAATTCCATTCAAGTGGGGTAGAGCCCAAGAAGGCATATTGCTAACAAGTTTCCAGACAAAAGTAGGACAGGGTGGTCTGTACCCATATTCCCAGCTTCTTGAGAGGCAGGAGGATTGCAAGTTCAAGGCCAGCCTGAGTAAATTAGTCAGCCCTGAAATAAAAAAATGGAAAAGGTCAGTGATGTGGTGTAGCAGTTGCTTAGCATGCACAAACTCCTGTTCAGTTGAAGTTTAATCCTCAGCACCACAACAAACAACCTCCCAGATTCCTCAGGTGATTTGCTGTGCTATGGACCACATATAGAGAACTACTGTTAAGTGGCAAAGCTTAAATTTGAGTTCAAACCTGTCTATGCAGAGCTTGACCTCTTGTCTTTGACACTCTGCTTCTCTTTGAGAATAGATTTCAAGAGGGACATGGCATTGAACACCTGTAACTCCAGCACTGTGGGAGGCTGAGGCAGGACAACTATGTATAAGATAAAGCGAGGCCAGGCCAACTTGGTGACTTAGCAAGACCCTGTTTCAAAAGCAAAACAAAATGAAACAAGGGTGGCGACCGGGCGCGGCGGTCGCCAGTTCACGCCCCCGTCCCGACTCTTTCTTGGGGGCCTGGCCCTAGCTCCCTTCTTTAAGTGGCTGCTTCTACAATGCTGACAGTCTCAGGTTGCTGTAGTTCGATCCCCACAACACTCCAGCCATCCAAAAGTGCCCTGAAGGCATTCAAGGAGAAAAAAAAAATTCTTATTGTGACTCTTCCACATGGCTGCACTGACAAGGGTTCTACAATCTGAGGTACAGGATCTCAGGATAAATCCTGAGGGCATTTCACTGGCCTTCTCAGACCAAAAAGCTACAACTCTTGTTGCATAGGACCTGCTTTACCTTGGTCTTAACCATCCAGTAGAAAAGTATGAAGACGAAATATAGGAAATAAAGCCATGCTGTTAAGTTGAGCTGTGGGGGACTCAGGTCAATAATTTCTGACATTGCCAGTTAAACAGAAGACCCAATGCTATTATGGCCTCTGGACTCTTTTAGAATATTTTGCTGAGTTTACACACCTATAATATTCAATAACGGAACTTAAAAAATGGGGTATACCTATGAATGTTCATTTTGTATCTGTGTATTTAGAGTGGTTGGGATAGATATATAGTTGCATTCTCTTAATGAATAGAATGATTTGTTTTAATGGTGTTTGTAAATAGGATCACAAGTCCACATCTTGTACAGCAATTAACCACTAAGAAGAATATATGCAGTGTATTATTTGTTGAAACTGTACTTCCGATTTGATTTGAAACTGTCTCATTGCTATCTGTTTATCAATAAAACTTTGAAAAGAAAAAAAATAAAATAAATTAAACAAAAAAAAAGAAAAAAAAAAAACCCAAGGCCTGAGCCAAGCATGGTGGTACACACCTATAATCCCAGCACTCGGGAGGCTGAGGCAAGAGGATGGTTTTGAGATCAAGACATGTTTAGACTACAAAGTAAGCTCAAGACCAGCCTGAACTGTGTTGTGAGACAGTATCTCAAAAAACAAAAAGACAAAAAAAAAAAAAAAAAAGAAAGAAAAGAAAAAACCAAACAACCAGGCCTGAGGACACAGTGTGCAAAGGCCCAAAGGTCTTGGGCTCAATCCCCAGCACTGGGGGAAACGAGAATAACAGAAAAAAAAAGCTTTGAGCAGGGTGAAGTGAGGAGGCAGGTAGGAGAATGAGTAAACTTTTTCATGAACTTCTTTTGAGACAGGCAATGAGAAACTCCGGGAAATAGCTCAGAGCAGTTGTCCTCAGACTCTAGTGTATAAAAAGTCCCCTGGTGAGCTGGTTAAAGAGGTAGATTCCAGGCAGGACATGGTGTTTGCACACCTGCAATCCCAGCACTTGGAAGGCTGAGGCAGGAAGGATTGCAGTGTTCGAGGCCAGCCTGGGCTACATAGTGAGGTCAAGGCCAGCCTGAGCTGCATGGTAAAACCCTGTCTCAAAGAGACAAAACAAAGAAACAAAGAAAACAAAACAAGAAGTAGATTCCCTGATTTTCTCCCCATATCCTCAAATCAGGGGTGGAGCTTGGGCACCTGCATTTTTAACAAACAGCCTGGAAGTTTCGGAAGTTTCTGGTCATACACTGAGAAATACTGACCTAGCAATAAATCCAAGGGATGCCAAATGAAAGTGTAGGTGTGCGTTAGTTTTCTGTCACTGTCTCAAAATACAGTGGATAACTCAGTTCACAAATGTTTTTATTTGAAAACAATTTGGTTAACAAAAGTATTAGGCAATTTTTTTTTTTAATTATTTATTTATTTTGTGTGTGTGTGTGGCCAGCTCAGCCCACCAGGGGGCGGGGCTGGCTGGCATGTGGTGCTGGGGATTAGAACTGCGGTCGCTGTGCTTTTGCTTAGCTTAGCTTGTTCTAAGTAGGTGCTTTAGACCACTGAGCCATCTCACCAGCCCGCAAATTTGGTTTTCATTTGTGAACTCTGCATTATGTGACAAACATGACTACAGCCATCTTTCCCAAACAAACAGAAACATGGCTATCTTTTCCAAAATTGTGGAACAAATAAAGTTCATGAACGGGGGTACTACTGTACCTGAGATAAACAGCTTAAAAGGAGGAAAAAGTTATTTTGGCTTACAGTGTCAGAGGTTTCAGTCCCTGGTCTCTCCCACCGCCAACCCCCTAACCCCTGATTTGGGCCTGTGTTGAGGCTAAACATTATGGCAGGAAGTTTGGGATGGAACAGAGCCATACACATCATGGTGTCTGAAAGTGAGAAAAAGCAAAAGGAAAGGATGGGTCCCAATCATCCCTTTTGAGGTCATTTCTCCAACAACTGGACTTTCTCCAACTAGGTCCTACCTCAAGTTTCCTCTTCCTCCCCAAAAGACTGTTAGCTGGGGACCAAGCCTTTAATATATGAGCTTTCGGGGATATTTAAGATCCACATGGTACCAAGGTGGTTACAAAGAAAACAGATTTGACCTAAAGCTTAAGGTTTAGGCAGAAAAGGGTCTTTTCTGGGGAAAGGGAAAAGAAGTTGAATTACTATACATCCACTTGATCTGATACTTTGTAGTCGGTCTCTTTTAACCTTTGCAAAAACCATGTGAGGTAGGTATTATTGTACCATTTCTACAGAAAGAGGCAAATGAGACTTAGAGAACCCAAAAGTAACTTGTCACAGGTCCTAACTGACTGGATAGAGCTGAGATGCAACCTCAAACCCTTGCTTTGTCGATCACAAAAGGTGGCCCTGTGAAGCATGGTCCTCCACTAAGTGAAAGGATGCTTGGGTTTGAGCTGAAGAGTGGAAAGAGTTTGAACAAGCTAGATCAATAATGTCCATATTTAACAATAAGTTGATATAAATTTGACGTTTCTTTTATTCTGCAGGTTCTCTCTTCCTCCTGCCTCCTCCCTCTTTCCTCTTCCCTCCTCCTTTCTCTCTTCCTCTCTCTTCTCCCCCCTCAGTGTCTTCACCCTCTCTCTCCATGTCTTCTCCCTCTCTCTCTCTCTCTCTCTCTCTCTCTCTCTCTCTCTCTCCCTGTCCTCTCTCTCTGTCCTCTCTCTCTCAGTGTCCTCCCTTCTCTCTGTCTCTGTCCTCTCTGTCCCTCTGTTCTCTCTCTCTCTCTCTCTCTCTCTCTCTCTCTCTTTCCCTCCCTCCCTCCCTCCCTCCCTCCCTCTCATTTTTTTCTTGAAGTGATTTTGTTAAAGAAAAGAAGGGGCCAGGTTCCTCTTTTTTATTTTTCATCCTGTAGTTTCTCAAGTCTGGAAATTGCTGACACACTACAGTTTTAAAAAGTGAGCTCACTGCAAAATCAACTCGGCAAATACTCTTCAAATGTACTAAATGGCCTTTTTCTCAGTAATTATGTCATCTGTCTTTACTTTTCTTTCCTCTTGCTTTCTGAATTCATTTATCCTGATCACCTCTGAATCATTAACAAAAAGTTCTACAAAACTACCATCTGCTTCCCAGTGGGGTTTATATCTTAAAACAAATTTTCGTCAATTGAATTCAAATTGAATAAAAGCATTGAAACCAAGGATCCCTCATTAGACAGTTTGTTATTTCAAAGCATTTTCTGTTTACAGTGCCTTATTCAGAATACAGTATAATCCTGTGAAGGCAAGTCTGTTTCTTCGAAATAGTGTATAATTGAAAATGGTTGCAGCTCCTAATCTGACTTAGTCTCTAGATTTTTTATTAGAGAAATTTAATTTGTTAGAATCATTGCGCCCATCTGAACCTATTAATGTAACATTTCTTTATGTTGTAATTTTTTTTAAAAAAATTTATTTATTTATTTATTTATTTGTGTGTGTGTGTGTGTGTGTGTGTGTGGCCAGCTCAGCCCACCAGGGGGCGGGGCTGGCTGGCATGTGGTGCTGGGGGATTGAACCGTGGTCCCTGTGCTTTGCAAACTTGTTCTAAGTAGGTGCTTTAGACCACTGAGCCATCTCACCAGCCTATGTTGTAAATTGATGGAGTTGAAGTGCATTACAGATAAGAAGTAATCATCGTTAAAATGAAAGTCCTAAAGATCATTCAGTACAAATTTGCATTGATTTTTTTCTTTTCTAAAAATTCACTTTTATAACATCAATATAACATATGCATATATTTTTAAAAGAAAAGACCCAGGTTCATAAAGACAACAATCCCTTTCTTTTCCTACCTCACCCCTAATTTTTATTCCCATTAGCATTCAATGCTTGACAAATAACTTTCCATGATGTTGACACCTCTCATTCATTACCATTATCGTCCTTGGTTTTTTAACCTTGGGGAAAATTCTATCTTTTGAACTCTTTTTTAGAATAATTTACTGAGAAAAAAATAGCAATGAGACACTTTCACAACCGATTAGTAGGACAGTTTCAATAATTAATACATTGCATATTGTTGTCTTCTTGGTGGTTATCCATAGTACAAGATGCAGACATGATATCCTGTCCACAAACACTATTACAACAAATCTATTCATTGAATTAAGAGAAATTATCTGTATATCTATCCTATTTTGTATATGCAGATACAAAATCATCCTTCATTTGTGTCCCCTTTTTTGTTTAGTTTTGTCTGAGGACATTCCATTGTTATTTAAATATTCTAGGTGCATAAATTCAGCAAAATATTCCAATATAGTCCAGTACTCCATAATAGTAATGGGTTATCTTTTAAACTCTTTTTGGGTAGTTTTTGTGATGTTTGGGATGATGTGGGAATAACTCTGTGTGTGTGTTCAGTTAGCCAAATTTAACTGATACTCTCATGTTCTCTTTTTCCATATTTTAATGACATAATAATTATACAAACTTAGGAGATGCAGTGTCATTTTGTGGGAAGTACTGGGAATTTAACTCAGGGCCTTCACACTGAATTGCATCTCCAGTCAATTTCATTTTAATTTTGAGCTAGGATCTCCTAGGTTGCTAAGTTGCTTAGGCTGGGTTTGGATATATGATTCTCCTGTCTCAGCTTCCCAGAGTGCTGGGATTGCATGCATGCACCACCATGCCTGGCTCAATGTGATGTTTTAATTCATGTTTACATTGGGTTACAGTAAAGTGGAGATAACTAGAGAATAAAATAATTGTTACAAGAGAGGAGGAAGAGAAGGACATGGAAAGATTGGTCAATAAATACAAGGTTAGCCAGGTGTAGTGGTACATGCTTGTATTTCCAGCACCCTGGAAGGCTGAGACCGTCTGATTGCAAGTTCACGCCTAGCCAAAGCAATTTAGCAAGACCCTGTCTCAAAATAAAAATTCAAAAAAGGCCTGAGATGTACTTCAGTGTGAACATTCTAGGTTCAATCCACAGTACTACAAACAAAAACATGTGTAAGGTTAAATTGAAATAGGAACAGATAGAAGATTTCTTTCTTTCTTTCTTTCTTTCTTTCTTTCTTTCTTTCTTTCTTTCTTTCTTTCTTTCTTTCTTTCTTTCTTTCTTTTGATGGTGTCTCACCGTGTTGCCCAGGTAGATCTCAAATTCCTGGGCTCCAGTGATCTTCCTACCTTAGCCTCTTGAGTAGCTGGGACTACAGGTATAGTGTGTCTGTCTTCTTATATTTCTTTTTTAAAGGACACACTTGCGACCACAAAGGTCTCCTTTCTTCTCAATGGCAGAATAATATAGCTCCATTTGGGTGCAGTGATGGAGGAGTTTCAGATGTGCTTAAGGACGAGAGCTCTTTGAGATGGGAAACTACTTTTTTCTACCATCATTCATTTTTGAATCCTCTTCTTGTATTTTCACTATACAATTCCTTTGTTGAGAGTGGATAAAGGTATAAAAGTTGAGAAAAAATAGAAACTTACAAGAAATGCAACAGACGACTTCCAACTATCAAGACGGGAGGGGGGAGTACAGTAGAGTAAAAACTTTCTCCCTCCCATTTTGTGAGTTGCTTCATCCACCAAATTGATGGAACCCTATTCCACAAAATCTCCCTGCTGACTGGAAGGAGATGGATCTTTGGCCTGCCTTAGCAATATTGTTCTGTAAGACTATGAAGAACTATAATGTTGATTATTAATCTCCAATCTGGAGCTCTACACCTATGTACATTTGGATTCTTCTCTCTTTGGGGCATATCTCCCAACCCTTATAACACCAAAGAGGTTAGAGTGACCCAGTAAATATTTAATGACCAGCCCTCCAAGGAGAACAAGTCCTGATTTGTAGCATTTGCTAATTTCTGTGGTGTAAACACTCCTAGCATAGCTAACTGCAGGTTATGAACCAAAGTTGGAGGTGGAAAGAGAAGTGTGCAACATCTGAGAACTTGAGCAAATCCAGAACGTCATTGCCTTTGAGTGCAGGATGTGGGGCTTCACTCAATACTGTCAGACTCTCACTTGGGGACATAGTCATGTGTCCTTCCCACTGGGCTCCTCAGTTATTCCCACCGCGATCTTCCTGCCAGACTGACTGCCTTTTCACACATTTATATTCCACTCCGGATCAAGAGAACTCCCAGTGCTCTTTGTCTTTCTCCTTTCTTCATCTATATTGTGTGTTCTGGTTTAATCTTAATTTTGTTTTTGCTCTGCTTTGATGTCTTTAGAAGAACCTGTTTTTAAAATCAGTTTCATGTACAAATATGAAACTAGTCCATAGAGATTGTGTCTTATCCTGGTAACCTCTCTTGTGGCACTGTACTAGTGGCAAGCAACAAGGATTCCTTTTTCTGCAGTGTTGCTAATAGTGTTCCTTTTTTTTTTTAACAGTTGACAGGCCTGTCCGAGTATATGCAGATGGAATTTTCGACCTCTTCCATTCAGGTCATGCAAGGGCGCTTATGCAAGCAAAAACACTGTTTCCCAACAGCTACTTGTTGGTAGGAGGTAAGAAGCTCATTTTCTCTTCGTCCAGAAAACCCCTTAATAAGATACTTCTTGCAAAGGGTTCCTTTCAGAGTTCTCAAAGTAAGATGCTACACTGTTAATGCTTCCAAAGCAGCCTGTATTGACTTACTTGTTAACTGCATGAAATTTAAAATGGCCATTTAAAAAAATCAAAGAGAAATGACATCATGAGATTGTGTACTACTGATCATCAGAGGAGGACAGATTAATACCACCACCGAAGTTACTGCTTCATGCTTTCCATCAATACTTTTTCCAGGTATTTCAGACATGATGTAATTTATGTTTCTGAAATTTTCTAGAGTCAAGAGAAAAGCTGTATTGTTCTGACTCCAAGCCTTGGAGAACGGAAGAGGTCTGGGATAACAAGGCCATCATCTATTATAGATCATGTATTATGGATCTGAAATGTTCCCTCAGAGTCTCATTGGTAGATTGGTCCACTGATGGGTTTATAGCTAACACGTTGTTAGGTAGGACCTGGTTGGAGGAGGCAGGTCGTGGGGACCATGACCTGGAAGGATGTATCTCTTTCTCTGGATGCTCCCTTTTTTGCTTCCTGGTCACCATGTCACATGCAACTTTTTGTTCATCGTGCCCCTCTGTCATAGCATGTCTGCCCTGGAGCTAGCCAACCATGGATGATACCAGGAGCTAAAATATATCTCACCTCTTTTAGGTTGCAAGTGTTGGGTATTTTGACCCAGGGAAGAGAAAGTGACTAAGACATTGTCTATTTCCTTCGTGTGATCCATAGCACTTAGGACAGTACTGTACTAACAGCAGTGGCTTTACATAACACTGATTCATTGAATTTATGTGCAGTGTTAAAGAAATGGAGATTTATTTAGCCAGGTAATTTTGTTTCATGATGAAGGAACCAACTTACTTCCTAAACCTACTGGAAAGAGAAGGATGGGGGTTGAAAGTTTCTTCCTCTGGAAGGTCTACCTATGTCGATATGGGTAAAAGGTAAAATACCTGACTAGGACACCTGCATCTTACTTTTTTTTTTTTATTTTAGGGAACGGTCTACAGGGTGTTCAGGTTCTCCCTACTAGATCGGACTCATAGTGATCCGCCTGTTTACAGCCTCCCAAGAGCTGGAATTACAGATGTGTGCTACCACACCCAGTCTCAATTGCTGTCTCAGCTCGCCCTGGGGGGGCAGCGCTGGCACAGCAGGCCCGGGGATCAAACCCCGGCCCCTGCACCTGCTTGCAGGCACTTTAATCCGCTGAGCTGTTTGGCCAGCCCTTGCATCTTACTTCTGTAGCAGTGTATGTATTCATCATGATCAGTTTGTTTTGGGTTTTTTAGACAGGGTATTGCTAGTAGTTTAGGCTGGTCTTGAACTCACTATGTAGTCAAGGCTGGCCTCACACTCATGACAATCTTCCTGTCTTAGCCTCCTGAATGCTGGGATTGCAGATGTGTGCCACCACACATGGCATTCACCATGATCAGTTTTATGGCACCATAAGTATCAGATCCCATCAACCCTTGGACATTTATTATAAGAACAAAAGAAGTGCTGGTAAGAGATGGTGTATCTGGTTTTTTAAAAGCATTTTATTATCTCCTGAAAATTTAAAACTGTTTTGTAGGTACTGAAGAGAAACCCTTCTGCAGATTTTGCTATGGGCGATTACCATGGGGATTTATTGAATGGAATTCTTCCTTTGAGTGGTGAAAGGCAGTGGTTGCTGGGCAAGTCCTGCCAAGGGAATGCACAGCAGGCAGAGGAACCAACCCTTGCTCATTTCCTCTGCCTCAGTAGAAAACCATTTGTCAAGTGAGCCCTCCACCTTCAGTCTGGTCCTAGGCTCCTGGGCCATGAGGGGACCCCTGCAAGTGTTTGGTTCTGAGGCATTTTGGTGAGATGGTTTGATATGAGTCACAGTTAAGATTTTCTGTACCCATTTAGTTTTAAATCCCCACAGGTGTACATACTGAGCCAGTTTGTCAGTTTAAGCTTTCCTGCCTGGCACCAGTTCCTTCAGAGCTTTCTGCTTGTGAATTTTTGTGCCAGGCAGTTGTGATTCTTTGTCCGTCTGTCTCTCTAATTTGGGTGGCATTAGTTTGCCCTGTGACCTCATTTCTCAGACTCTGAAAACTTGTTGATTTTTCAGTTTGTTCTCCTTTTCACTTCTTGTTGGAATGGAATGGTGATGTCTAAGTTCATTACTTGGCAGGCCAGAAACCAGAAGACCAATACTGATATTTGAAAAAAAATAGTTACCTAATTACTTAAATGTACCTGGTGGCATCTAAGAGCTATAACACTTTGAAAAGTATCATCATATATGAAATATTTAACAAAATTTTTTTTAGTACTGGTAATTTATAGTAAACTATACCTCTACTATACTTCTAGCTTTCCTTCTTCCTTCCTTCCTGCCTGCCTGCCTGCCTGCCTGCCTACCTACCTACCTACCTACCTACCTTTCTTTCTCTTTATATTTTGAGACAGAGTCTTGCTAAGGAACTAAGTTAACCACTTATTGCTTCAATTTGCCTCAGCCTCCCAGAGCACTGAGATTATAGGCATGTGCCACCATGCCCAGCTAACTAACTTGTTTTTAACTTTCCAATATTTTATAAATTTGCCCATTTTACTTGCTATTTTGGGGTTCTTTTTTTTTTTGGTGGAACTGGGGATTGAACTCTGGCCCTTGAGCTTGCCAGGGAAGCACTTATTCCACTGAGCCATCTCCCTGGCCCAAAATATCTTTTTTTTTTTTTTTTTAGAACTGGGGATTGAACTCAGGCCCTTGCGCTTGCCAGGAAAGTACTTATGCCACTGAGCCATCTCCCCAGCTTTACTTGCTATTTGTATTTTCATTCCTTTTCTCACCTGTAACTTTTTCTCTTTTTTTTTTCTTTCTTTCTTTTTTTTTTTTTTTTTTGTGGTACTGGGGATTGAACTCAGGACCCTGTGCTTGCCAGGCAGGCACTTATTCTACTGAGCTATCTCCCCAACCCTCCTGTAACTTTTTCTAATGTGATACATTAGTGTTTGTAGGTCTTTTAGTTATCAGTCTATGATATTCCTCTGAAATAAAAAAATACGTAAATTAGTGCAGACTAACCAAAGAATCATGTTATACATTTTAATAAAGAATTATTAAAAATAAACATACATTTGATCAGCAATGTATCTCTTAATGATATACATGAGATCTCTTTGTTTCATGTCCCTGTAGATGAATATAATTTATTTTATTATTTTTTTTAATATTTATTTTTATTTATTACATTTATTTATTGTGTGTGTGTGTGTGTGGCCAGCTCAGCCCACCAGGGGGCGGGGCTGGCTGGCATGTGGTGCTGGAGGATTGAACCGTGGTCCCTGTGCTTTGCTTAGCTTAGCTTGTTCTAAGTAGGTGCTTTAGACCACTGAGCCATCTCTCCAGCCCCAATGATGATGAATATAATTTAGTTGCAAGAATGAAGTAGGACTTAAAATTCATTTTATTCCTATTTTTCATAAATGCTGAAATATTTTGTTCACATAAGTGAACAGATAGAAATACAACTTTGTCACAATTTTTGACATTTTTCTGAATTATTTGCCTCAAATCACAAAAATAATTTATTAGTACTACTGCCATCAAAGTTTAATTCTAATTGTTGATCAGGTAACAATTTGTAAAGATCTCCTTCAAATTTGCTGCAATCAATAGGAAATGACCTGGCCTACAAAGGGATGTGTTGCCAAGCTACTAGAATCATTTGCTTTCTTCCTTTCTGGGAATTATAACAAAAGGCTATGTCAAGATTTGTCAAATGACTCTTAATTATAAGCCTTGCTCATTTATTTGAAACCAATTTACTCAACCAGATAATACACAGAAAGGATTGCGGGAGTTGAAATATTGGCAATTTCATTACGTCACTGACAATCCACTAGTTTTTGGAAAAATGATTTTATCATTAGCTTAAAACCTTTAAAAAAAAAACCTGGTGCTTCAGTTTTAGCTTACAGAGCATATATTCTAATTTAATTTCTAAAACCATTCCTCACTGTCAAACCTATTAAAAACCTAGAAACCAAAAAACTCTATTAATTTAAATATATTAACATATTTGAAGCAGCTTTATAAAAGCCACTGAGAAATAAATTATAGAATAGATAAGATAAAATAGAATCAGTCAATATTAAAATCATGTAGCTCTAGTATAAGTTATAAAGAAGACAATAAATCATTATACTTAATATATAGTAATGCAATGTAATTTATAGGTAAAATTATATGGTACTTATGAAAAGATAAATATAATTTTTGAAGACACTTTCTAAATATTGGTGTGTGTGGGTATGTATGTAGCACAGTCTCATGTTTGGCTCTGGGGAATAATTAGATAACATTTAGTATAAAAATCAGAAATAATTCTTTATTAGACATCATGATTAAACTTTTCCTATGTATCTAAAGATAGAGAGGGGCATATACTACCAGAGAGTAATTGCTCTGAAATAAGTAATTTTATTTTTGTTGTGAGGGAGTAGAACGTCAACATCTTAGAAGATAAGGATTATCTATAAATTGAATATTTTATAATGTGAGTTTATAAAATAAGTTTTTAACTTCCTTTTTAAATAATGCACATGAAATCTGAAAAAAAGTCATGTAAATGTTTTACCCATGCATTTATTCCAGTGTATCTTAAAATATTTGATAAGTCCAGAAAATATTCCAGTTAAATTTCTGAGAAGCAGTGCTAGCCTATACAGCTTTGGGTTATTAAAGTGATTTTGAAGTGAATAGCTGGAAAAAATGCTTACTCTTAACTACAAGAGAAAAACCATTTTTAGGATTCAATATGAGTGTTGAGAATAGCTGGAAAAATGCTTACCCTTAACTACATGAAAAAGCCATTTTTAGCATTCAATATTTCTTTCCAGTGCTCCTTTCACTTTGAGTTCCTGGGCCTTATCCCTCAAGATCCGTGTGTTCTTTGATAATAGTTGTAAG